CTGGCAGCTACTGAGTGGAAGCAGCCTTGCCCACCTGTCCAGCACTGCACGGGAGCAGCAACCAGAGCTATCAGGGCCTGACCATGGGTTGCCCAAGGTCTGCCGCACAGGGCAGGGTGGATGGGGCTGCTTCTGCCCAACATCCCCCACGACACCTGAGAGATGCAGTCTGGCCCCGTAGGCCCTAGTCACCATTTTCCAGCAGGGGCCAGGACCAAGCGCAGCTCACCCAGGGCCTGAAGGGCTGGAGTGCATCTCCCAAGTGCCATGAGGGATGCTGGGCAGAAGCAGCCCCATCCACCTGGCACCACACAGCAGGTCCTGCTGAGCCACTTTTGGGCCCCTGCCTCTGCTGGTGCTGCATGGTGCCAGATGGCTGGGGCTGCTTCTGGCCAGCATCCCCTGTGGTGCCTGCGAAATGCAGTCAAGCTCCATAGGCCCAGGGAGGGCCAGACTATTTTCCAGGCTGCCATGTGGTGCCAGGCAGGTGGGCAGGCAGGCTGCTTCCACCCAGTGTCCCCTGTGACACCAACAAAGGCTGGACCCACAGTTGCTGCCCATGCCACTAACCAGCAGAGGTGGGGGCCTGAGCACGACTTGCCTAGGGCCTGCCACAGTGTCACCACCTATGGTGCCTGACTGAGCTAGATAAAAATCAATTGGTGAGCTAAATCCAGCCTGTTGGCCATGTTTTGCCCACCCCTGTATTAACAGGAGTGCCATCTGCAAATCAAGGGAAGTAAATCTTTTACTCTATTCAGCACTGGTGAAGCCTCACCTGGAGTACTACGTCTAGTTTTGGGCCCCTCACTTCAAGAAGGTTGTAAAGAGTTTGGAGACAGGCAAGCGTAGAGTTACAGAAAAGGATTAGGGTCCTAGGAAGAAAGGTTTATGAAGAAAACTAAAAGAACTAGGGTTATTTAGTCTGGAGATGAGAAGACTGACGTGGGATTTGGTAACAGGCTTCAAATACCTGAATGGAAATTAGAGAGAGGATGGAGATATACTTTTTTCTGCGGCTGTAAGGAACAGGACCAAGACCAATGGCCTCAAGCTGCAGCACAGAAAAATTAGCTTAGGGATAAAGCAGTAGAAAAAAAGTTGTGGAATCTCTATCCCTGGAAATCTTCAAGAACAGACTAGACAGGCACTTAGCTGGAATGACTTAGTCTGGGATGTGGAATCCAGCCTTCAGCAGGGAGCTGGACTAGATGACCTTGTGAGGTATCTTCCAAACCTACTTTTCTGTTATCCTAAAATTTGGGCCAGACTGTGAGTTTAACAATCTGCCTGAAGTCTGAGGCAGGGTATGGCTGCTAATTAATTTCTGGAATCACAGAATCAATGGACTGGAAGGGACCTGTTAGATCGAGTCCAGTCCCCCACCATCGGCAAGAGGTTAATGAGCTCAAACTAGCTCAACGAGGTGGTTATCCAGCCTCCTCTTGAACACCTCCAAGGATGGCAACCACATCACCTCTGCCAGGAGTGTGTTCCAGGTTCAAGTTACCCTAACAGATAAGTTCTTCCTCATGTCCAGCCTAAATCTTCCCTCTATTAGTTTGTGACCATGTCCTCTCAAGGGGTGCCTTCCTGAAGAGTTGCTTCCCCAGATCTTGGTGTTCCCCGCTGACATACTTGTAGGCAACTATCAAGTCACCTCTCAGGCTCCTCTTACCCAGACTGAACAAGCCCAGCTCCCAGAGTCTCTCCTCACATGGCCTATCCTCCAGGCTCCTAATCATGCAGGTGGCCCTTCTCTGTACCCTCTCAAGCTTATCCACATCCTCCTTGAAGCGCAGTGCCCAAACTGAACACAGTACTCCAGTTACGGCCTCCCCAATGCTGAGTAGAGGGAGAAGCACCTCCCTGGATCTGCTGGCAACACATCGGCTGATGCACGCCAGAGTTCTGTTTGCCCTGCTGGCAAATTCCTCACACCGTTGGCTCATATTCATCTTCTGGTCAATTGTGACCCCCAGGTCCCATTCAGCTGTGCCAGTCAGTGGTCTACCACCTATCATGTAATTGTGGTGAAGGTTCTTCCTACCCAGATGAAGGACCCGGCACTTTTCCCTGTTGAACCATATCTGATTTCAATCGGCCCCTAGAACCAGTCTGTCAAGGTCATCCTGGATCCTCACCCTGTCCTCTGGTGTGCCTGCATTTTCCCACAGCTTGGTATTGTCTGCAAATTTAATCATAGAGCATTCCACCCCTGCATCCAAGTCATTAATAAATATGTTAAAAAGCATGGGGCCAAGAACCGATACATCTGGGACACCACTAGACAGCCCTCCAGGATGAGGCCGTCCCATCGATTACAACTTGCTGGGACCAGCCTCTAAGTCAGTTATCCACCTACTTCACTGTAGGCTGGTCCAGGCCAGTACCCTCCAGTTTAACTGAGATAACTTAATGGGAAACAGAATCAAAGGCCTTACTGAAGTCTAAGTAAATGATATCTACTGTTGGCTACAAAGGACCAACTTGCAGGATCGTCATAAAATTCTGGTTTATTGGACGGATGCAAAAGTCAGATCATAAACCTTGGGGCTGATCCCCTCAAACACACACATACTCACAGTACCTAGCTATGAACACTAAGCACCAGTGTCAAGATACACCTATCCCTAAGCACTGGAGTCTGCCGTCGATGGCCAGTAAAGGCTTCTTTCAGTGCGATGTTGCTTCAGAAGGGGGTCGCTGGCTGGTCCTTCTGGCTGGAAAGGCAGGGTGCTGGTCAGGTCAAAGAGGGCACCATTGGGGGCCATTCTTCACTGCCTTTTATCCCTCTCTGGCAGAATTTGGTGACTCCCCAATTTTTGGGCTTGCCCAATCCAAAGGTCATTGACCTCGTGGGATGTCCCCCTTGGTGGTTGCTGGATGTCAGCTGTCAGCCCCAGGGGTCACGTCCACAGGTACGTGAAATCTCGGGAGTCCCTTGATGAAGTTTGATTAATTCACTGCCATGATTATTAGGGCTCTGGGAGCAGTTGATCGGGGGAGGAGTGGTATTCAGTCCCAAAAGCTGGTCTTCGGCATTGATTAGTTCAAACTGTGTCTTCTGTACCTTTAACAGTAAAGTTTCAGGGAGTTCCTGGCTATGTATTGATCCTTTCCTCTCCTTAGTCTGTGGTTTCATAGGTGTTAATTGCCACTTGTTAACTTGTTATCCTGGCTAGCTACTGTGTTACACAATCAGTCATGATTCATTCAGGGACCTGCTCAATACAAACTGTGATTCGATTCCTGCCTTTGTTAACATCGTTACATGGTACAACTTACTTTTAAACTTAAACTACATTTGGTATGAAGTTAAAAAGCATAGAATATAAAACATAAAAGGGTGAAATGCCATGGCACATACAACAAATAGACCAAATACAATGTGGGGGACATACTGATTCAGAATACTGTGTTATACCCATAACAGCATCTACAAACTATATTTTTATTACAAGTACACCTTATATTCTATAACAATAATAATAATAAAAGAAAAAGAGGGAGGAAGGAAGAAGAGGTAGAAAAGAGAAAGCATCCCCAAAAGGGGGCAAATACTGCAAAAGGGGCTTTTGCCATATGGAGGGGCTTCACATTGGAGTGGGGGGCAAGCAAAAAAAAGTTTTTTGCTACACTACCTCATGTCCCTTGTCTAGCTGGTTAGTTACCTGGTCATAAAAGGACACCAGGTTTGTCAGGCATGAACTACCCTCCACAAAGATGTGCTGGTTTTTCTTAATACCCTGACAGTTATAAGCTTGTGATTGTGGTCTCCTTAACAATTTTTTCAAAAGTTTTTCCTAGTACCAAAGTCAGACTGATCAGTTTACAGTTTGCAGGGTCATCCCTTTCCTAAAGATGGGCATCACATTGGTCCTCTTCCAGTCATCTGGGACCACCCTCAAGTTCCATGACTTTTCAAATATCTTCGCCAAAGGCCCTGCTATGATTTCAGCCAGTTCTTTCAGAGCTCTTGGATGTAGCAGGTCATCTGGCCCTGCAGACTTGAAAATGTTCAATTGGTCTAAGAGGACCCTCACCTGTTTGGGACTTGCTTCATGATGTCTGTAATGACTGACTTCATGATGACTTCCCCATGTTCTCTGGGCCTCTGGACAGGTGTACAGCTCCTGTTAGCTTTCTGGAATACCGATGTGAAGTATTCATTTAGGAGCTTTGCCTTTTCTTTGGGATCAACTGTGGGCTGCCCCTCCATTTCCAGCAGGGATCACACAGTGGAGCTTTTTTTTTTTCTTGCTTCCCATGTACCTGTAGAAGGACTTTTTGTTGTTCTTTATTTTGGATGCCCGCTTGATCTCCATGAAAGAAGTGACTCTGGAATTAAAGAATTAAGCAAATGTAGAATATGATCCTTTGTGCTGCTTTAGATTTTTGCTTCTTTTGGGCACTTGATGCTGCTAGGCCACTTGGTGTTTTCCTTTGTTGCTCTTACTTTCCAGCTTGCTGTGATTTAGTTCTTTTGAGCTCCTTTCTGTTGTTTAGAATATGCTAGAAGAGGAAAGTCCTAGCTCATAATGAATAACAAATACATTTTCCCCAGTTTCACCTGACAGTCAAAACTGCAAACTGTACCACTTCTTCATATTAAATTACATCATCACAAAAGCATGACATTTCAACATAAATGTTTTTTCACTGCTCCAAAGTTAAGGGTACCCTTTTACCAGGTTCAGCTGCAGCAGTTTTCCCCTAAAAATCTAATCTTAAAACTGTTCCCAAACTTGAAATGCAACTGTGTGAACACCTTGCTATAAAATCTCCATTTTGTGCAATTAGACTCAAAAAGAGGTAACAATGGTAGAATTTCTGTATTCAGTGTGCCATGAAATGTGTAATCAACATCTCAATTAGCAATAAAAATACTTTAAAAAGGAGCAAGTTTTAAAATGACAGCACACCCACCCTCAATCCAATCCCTTCTAACAAATTATATCCCACCCCCAAGAGATGGACATCAACTTCACCATACTGACCTGTTTGATGGAGGTGATCTCTGGCAAGCTCAAATAAACGCATGTGCATGTTTGTGATAGGATTAAAGGAGCCACAAGCTAGGAGAATGAGAGGTATCTGGTTTTTCATCTTGATATCAGCACTTCTCCCTAAAGGAAGTATAACCCTTATAAAATAAACAACATTACAGAGAGATTTCCTAAATCAGTTTCTCAAAACAATACATAATGGAGCATCCTTTGCAGACTGTATGTCCTCGAAGCATTAGAAAAATGCCAAGGGATCAGCATGTAGCAAAATCAGAACACAGGATAGGTAATTAAATCAGAAATATAACCTGTACTTCAGCAAAAGTTATGATTACACCCCTAATTATGCTCTCCGATAGCCATAACAAGTAGGAAAACAAAGGCAAACAGAAAAAGTAATGGCTGCTGTTTCAGGTCTGTGTTTGTGACAGCTATCATAGAAAATAAGGGTTGGAAAGGACCTCAGGAGGTCATCTAATCCAACCCCCTGCTCAAGGTAGGACCATCTCCAACCGTCTCATCCCAGCCAAGGCTTTATCTAGCCAGGTCTTAAAAATCTCCAAGGATGGAGGTTTCCCTCAGCCTCTCCCCATAAGTTATGTTCCCCAGACCCCAACAATTTTGTTGTCCTCCACTGGACTCTCTCTAATTTGTCCACATCCTTTCAATACTGGGGGACCCAAAGCAGGACACGCTACACCAGATGTTGCCTCACTAGTGCCATATAGGAGGGGAAGAATTACTTCCCTCAATCTGTTCACAACACTCCTACTAATGCAGCCCAATATGCTGTTAGCCTTCTTCACAACAAAGCATAGTGTTGACTCACATTCAGCTTATTGTCTGCTGTAACCTCCACGGTCTTTTTCTGCAGAGCTGCTGCCCAGCCAGTCAGCCCCCAGCTTGTACCTGTGCATGGGATTGTTCTATCCTAAGTGAGGACTTGGCACTTGTCCTTGTTGAACCTCATGAAATTTCTTTTGGTCCAATCCTCCAATTTGTCGAAGTCTCTCTGAATCCTAACCGTAACATTCAACATATCTACTACTCTCCCCATCTTGGTGTCAACTGCAAACTTGCTGAGGGTGCACTCTATGCCATCTTTAGGGCATTGATGAAGATATTGAAGAAAACTGGCCTCAGGACACACCCCTGGGGCACTCCACTTAATACCAACTGCCAACTAGACATCAAACCACTGATTACTACCTCTGAGCCCAACAATCCAGCCTGTTTTCTATCCATTCATTCAACCCATACTTCTTTAGCTTGCTTGCGGACTGTATCATAAGCCTTGCTACATTCAAGGTATATTATATCCACTGCTCTTCCTGCTTCCACAAAGCCAGTTATCTCATCATAAAAGGCAATGAGGTTGGTCAGGCATAAAAAGCCTTTGGTAAATCCATGCTCACTGCTCTGAATCACCTTCTTCTTTTTTAAGTGCTTAGAAATGGCTTTCTTGAGGACCTGCTCCATGATTTTCCCAGGGACTGAAGTGAGGCTGATGTGTCTGTGGTTCCTCAGTTCTTCCTCCTTCCTTTCTTGAAGATGGACACTATATTTGCCCTTTTACAATCGTCTGGGACCTCTCCAAACTGAAACACATTTTCAAAGATGGCCAGAGATTGCAATCAAATCAGCCAACTCCCTCAGCACCCTTGGGTGCATCACGTCTAGACCCTTGGACTTGTACACATCTGGATTTTCTAAACAGTTCCTAATCTGCTCATCTCCCCAAACTGTGCTAATAGGTGTAGCAGTCCGGGAGCCGACTTTGTCTGTGAAGACTGAGGTGAAAAAGGCATTGAGTACTTCAGCCTTTTCCACATCCTCTGTCACTAGGCTGCCTCCCCGTTCAGTAAGGGACCCACACTTTCCCTAATCATCTTATTGCTGAAATCCTTGTAGAAATCCTTATTGTTGCCTTTCACATCACTTGCTAGCTGCAACTCCAATTGCGCTTTGGCCTTCCCGATTTCATCCCTACATTCCTGAGCAATACTCTTATACTCATTTGTCCAAGTTTCCACTTCCTGTAAGGTTCTTGTTTATGTTTTAGTTCACTGAAGATTTCCCTGCTAAGCCAAGCTGGTCTTCTGCCATATTTGGTAGTTTTCCAGCACATCAGGATGGTTTGCTCCTATGCCCTCAATGGCCATGTAAACAAGCATGGCTGTGCGGCACGTGGTGTCCCAGACACAGCTGCAGTGCTACGTACCGCATATTCAGGTGTTCTCTGCACTGCAAGGTAACATCGCAGGTGGGGCATGGGAGGCAGGGTTGACATCAGGGTCAAAAAGACCCATGCAAAAAAAAAAAGGGGGGGGGAGGAGGGCGGTGCATGCGGGGGCAGTGTGTGCTGCCCGAAACGGCGTGATTAGCCATGTTCAGCTAGGCTCCAAGTGGCAGGATCACTGCTGTTGCATAGGACTCCAGGTAAAGCTGCTGGGGCCAGCCCTAGCCTTCCCAACCCAAGTCGGGTTAACTTGCCACGTGCCACAAGGTATGCCGTTGCTTCTTGTCCCAGGGGAAACAAACATCCACGCTTATGTGGACATGGCCAATAAGGTTTCTTTAAAATACAACCAGATGACCTGGAATCCTTTTCTCTTCAGACTGGCCTCCCAGAGGATCCTGCCCATCTGTTGCCTCAGTGAGTCAAAAGCTGCTTTTCTGAAGTCCGGAGTCCTTACTCTGCTGCCCTCCTTCTTTCCTTTCCTCAGGATCATGAACTCAAGCAGTCACTGCTTCCCAAGTTTCTATCCCCTTGAACATTCCCCATCAGTTCTTCCTGGTTTGTGAGCAGCAGGTCAAGAACAGCATGGCCCCAAGTTGGCCTCTCCAATACTTGCACCAGGAAGCTGTCCCCCACACTCTCCAAAAACTTCTGGGTTTTCCTGTGCACTGCTGTATTGCCCTCCCAGCAGATGTCACAGTGACTGAAGTCCCCCCATGAGAACCAGGGCCTGTGATCAGAAATGTTCTGCTAGTTGTTTGAAGAAAGCCTCATTCACTGCTTCCTTCTCGTCTGGTGGTCTATAGCAGACATCCACCATGATGTCACTCTTGCTGCTCTCCTCTCTAACCCTAACTCAGACTCTTTCAATAGGCCTCCCTCCAGTTTTATGCTGGAGCTGTGAGCAATCATTTGGCTCTTTTACATAAAGCACAAATCCTCTTCTCCCCTGCCTGTTCTTCCTCAACATTTTGTAGCCATCCGTGACAGTAACTAAAATTATTTGAGCTTCCCCACCAAGTCTGTTAAGAACTTCCAATTCATCCTGCTTGTTTCCCAGGTTTTGTGCCTTTGTGTACAGACTGCTGAAGTAACTAACCACTTGCCCCACTTCCTCAGGAAGAATGAGAATGCCTCCTTTGTTGCCCCTTCCCGCTTGTGCTTCCTTAAGGATGCCCACTTCCCCATTTACCTCTGGGCTTTGGTCTCCATCCTCCAGTGAACCTAGTTTAAAGCTCTGCTCCCTAGGTTAGAAAGTCCATCTGAAAATGTTCTTCCCTCTCTTCATCAGGTGTATTAATCCCTTCCTAGAACTCCTTCTTCTTGGAACAACATCCCATACCCGAAGAAGGCAAAGCCCTACTGGCAATACCATCTGCCTAGCCATGCACTGAACTGTAACATCCAAGTCTTGGTTTTAAGATTTTTGCAGAATTAACTTTAATGTCACTAAGACAGCCTGCCACCGGTCTAAGGAAACCTGAATATGTACTGGCCTTTCCAGATAAATCACAGATTATAAACAATACTGAAATTGTTGCATCAAAACCAATTATAAATCCAGTACAATGACAAGTAAATGTAATCTACACTACACTGAGCTCAATGCAGGGAACAACCTAATTAGAATGAGGTGGCACCCTGACAAGTAAAACAGCTCTGTTCTGTAGCCTACATAGGGCTTAAATGGATTTTAACTGCCAGTAGAAACCAGAGTAGTAGCATACTTCAAGGGCACAATAACACCACAGTTGGGTCCCACTTACACTACCAGTCAAAAGTACATTCAGGTATTCCACTAAGGTGATTGTTCTAATACAGCCATGATAGATTTAGTTAAAATCAGAGGATTAAATCACCAATTTTAATCACAGTTTAAATCAGTAAGCAGGCAACTCTGATTAAAATCTATCTTAATCTTGTTTTGCATCTGTACTGTTTGTTATTTTCCTAAAGAAAGGTTGATTTTCATCAGTTGGTAATGATTAAAACAAGCTGATTTGCAACTAATTACAGGCTTTTCACTAAATATGGTACTTTTTGTTGCAAACTAGGAAGACATCTCTATACACATGTATTTATGCTATTATGTACCGTTACATATGTTTATTTAGATCCTTAATTTTTTATGTTTGTATATTAGAAACTAGAAAATTATATTCCTTATTTACTAGATGATGCATATTTCTGCTCACGAGTTTGGTCAAACTGCTTTGGGATGGAATTAGAATTCAATTAAGAGGCACTAAAACAGCATTTTCAACTGGTTTTATTACTTAAATAAAACTACCTTTCATTTGCTGGCTATGTAAGGAAAAAGTTTATCAAATAATGTTTTGAATTTAGAACTAAGTGCTAAGTAGCTGGAAAACTAAATTGCTTTTTTCTGTCTCCATAGTCTTCCAGAATTTAGAAGTGGTAGATTTCATCCCCTCTCACCTCATTTTTCATATTCCTAAGACTAGAAGAAGAAAACAATGTTTCCTGCTTTTTCCAATTCCCAGTCTGTTTCTAAATTTTGAATGAACTAGCCATAAAAACTGGCCCTCACTAAATAAACTGAAAAGAAAATATTCATTGTGCACCTGCAAGAGGCCACTGCTGTCCAAAGCTGCTGTATCAATTCAGTGAACTCTTGATCATAGGTGCTTAGCCTGGGACTTACAGAAGTTTTGTGGTTTAACTTTCCTTAAACCTTCACTAGTAAACATGTACTGCACAAGTACTTTTCATTAAGATTAATATGTAATTGAAAGTTTAGACCTTAATATAGGTTGTCCCAACTTCAATTAAATTTGAATAGGATTGTTTTTAAAAAGAAAAAAATTACATTTTTAAATGGCAAATCTTAAATTTTAACCCACTCTGACAGGAGATATTT